GGGGCTGTGGCCGGAACTATACTGGAACATTGCTTCTTGAGGTACAAAGTAGAATACAAGACAGGAAGGGCCAGGGCTAGCTAGTTAGCACTATCGTCATAGACATCTTAATGACATAACATCAGAACTGTTACTTCTCCCATGTTCAAATCAAATGTTTAATTTTTCTTAATGTTTTAAACTCTAAAATCTCTTACATTCTTACACATACACATTAATGACATTTAAATACTTGCTAGTGGCACTACTGGAAATAATCATTACTAATACATCACTGCCCAAAGCATTTGATGTTGAGTTATATATTTAACCTATAATATCATACACAACCTGAAAGCAACAATTCACAACACAAGTCATCTCCTTGCACTTTACATTTAGAAAGGTGTAGACTGTCTGTAATATAGTTATGGTCATAGAGTGGTAACAACTGTTGGCAAAAATGCCAGTCCAGCTGCACCTCCACATTTCATTTACATTTACTCATTGGCAGACGCTATAATCCAAAGTGACTTACATTGAGCATCAATAAAGTGAGAGATCTCAAGTGACAATAGATACTAGTAAGAGATAGTAGTAAAAGTTAACGAAATAGTGCTATCAAGACAAGTGAATTGTAAGGAGATAGAAGAAGAAGAGCATAGGAAGTGCATGTTAGAAGTTAGGGGTTAGAGGTGTATAAGAGGAGGTGTTCTCAGAAGACTTTTCAGGAGCTTCATGAAGTTAAATGTAAATGCTCCGTACTTGTTAGCGCCTTTCTAGTCTTTTCGACCACTCAAAGCGCTTTTACACTACATCTGCATTCACCAGTCACACACATTCATACACTGGCGGAACAGCCAGTGCTGTTCTATTGTGAATACCTTCACATTGAAATTAACTGAATCTGTGTTTTGTCAGTTCAAAACTCTCAGAGCTCTTTTAACAAAAATGAATTTACCAGCATATCCTAATATCTCAACTGAATTCTTTTTTGGGTTGGACACCTGCTTAACATTGTTAACAATTTCATGCTGGGTATCACTAGCCATTTACAGCTAGCTAGCTGTATCTGCCTAGCACCAAAAAAGGATAAACGCACCTGTCCTTTCAGCAGTTTCAGAACTTGAACATGTGCAGTAGGGACACGTGCTGAAAAGTGAGTGTCATCTGAACAGTGTGACTGGATATGGATGAATACCACAGACCTTCTTTTGTCCCCTCTGCCTCTGTTCCAGTCTGGGGACAAGAAGCTGGCCCAAAATGCCCAGATGTACCACTACCAGCACCAGAAGCAGCAGATGCTCTCCCTGGAGAAGTGAGTCACCCTGAGAGCCCAGCCCTGCCTCATCGAATCTGTGTTATCCTCTGAATATTTTATGATGGGTGTGTGTGTGTGTGTCTGCGTGCCTCTGACCTCTGCAGACACGGGATGAGCCAAAAGTTCCTGACTCAGGAGCATCGACAGATGAGGAGAACGAGGAGAGATTTCACAGTATATGAGTGTCCTGGATTGGCACCTGTGAGTAAACTCTTTATTACTAATAGATAACTTGCATTATTATCTTTATTAAAAGTTATACTGTGTGTATGGTCAGGTCAACATAATCGTCTAAATTTCTGAATAAAAAAGGAAACCCTTAACCAGAATTGAAGGATACAATTATGCATAACCAGTCATTGTAAGTCATGTAATTTATTCAGTTTAAATGTGCTAATCAATATGTAATAAACAAAGAAAAGTGTCACCAACTCTGCAGCTTAATTTTAGCTAGTTTGTGGCCTGCAATCTCAGCACTCAACCACCTTGTTTCCAGCTGCAGCAGGCATCGAAACAGCTCTGATAAACTACTTGTCCAGCATCAAACAACACACAATGTTGGTGATATTTAGCAATCAAATATTCTTTCTGAGGAGTTGTGGGATAAACTAAAAAAGAAAAATTTTAATAATTGATAACATAATAAGGTCATAATTAAACTTAAGATAAAAGGACATTGAAATATGCAAATTTAAAATGTAATATGATCATTTGAAAATTGTGACAAAATGACACTGAAAAAGTTACATTTAAAATGTAAAAGTTTAAATAGAAATTCTCAAACTGAAAGCTTATATTGTAAAGATGAAATTGAAAGGGCAATGAAAATAAGAAAAGGGAAACATCAAACAAATGAAACTCAAAATGGGAAATGGAAAAGATCTTCCAATTACTGGGTGACCCATTATACCTCATGAGCCAAAGCTGCCCCTAATGGATGCTTTACATTATTTACTTCTACTTTGGCAGATCTGCTGCTGAAATTAGACAGATATGACAGTTCATCTGGCTGCCAACTCACAGCCACAGATATTTATTAACTATTATTACAGTAATACAGTTATGATTAAGCAGAGTTAGTAATTTGTTCTGCTGTCTTTAAATAATCTGACTGTTAATTTTTTGAGGCAGCAAAATAATTTAGATTAAAAAAGTGAAAATAGGCAAAACAATGCTGTTTTTTGTTACACTTTTAGGATATATAAATGTTAAAATAAAACAGAAGGTTCCTAGACCAGGTATTGACCCTGATCCCCCAAACAGGGGTTGACAACACTAAGCACTGATGCTCAGAGCAACACATTCTCACTCCCGACTCATAACATATTGAAGCTTGGTCAAGGCCCTTTGGCGTTGCTTTTTAACGCTCTGGGTACCCCTTTTGCATCATTTTTAGACTTTAGGGCTCCGTAGTCAAGTTAGCAATGCTTAGCAACAACAAAATGCAACATCCGACAACAATAATTATGTAACATCCGTTTACACTTTCAAAATAAAACGCTAGCGTCCCGAAACTTCACCATTTTGAAACAGCACGTTATTAAAGTTGGTTAGGTTTAGACACAAAAAGTACTTGGTTAGGTTTACGCAACAAAACTACTTGGTTATGGTTAGGAAAAGATCATGGGTTGGGTTAAAATAACTACGTACGTCAGTTAACACGTAAGTTAACTTACGTCACTTGTGTAACTTACCCAATTTACGTAACTTGCCTAACTTAATAATAACCTAATAAAAATATTTAATGTTGACTTTCTGTTTCACACGGGACACGAACACCGCTCTCCTGGTTCAGAGTCTGGGTTCTGGCCCTCCATATACCCCAACCACCTCCTTACTCAGTCTTTTTTGTTAAATATCATCATCAATACCTACCTTTACCGTCAAAAAGGGATGCTACAGGGCTTCCCCCAATGCGATGAACTATGATGATGTAGGGATCCCCAGTGCGTTACAAACTGATGCCGATGGGTCTTGACCATGAAATAGAATCAGTATCAGAATCAGCTTTATTTGCCAGGTATGTGTACACATACGAGGAATTTTACTCAGGATTGTACATTGCTCACGATGTGCTTACTTACAATATAATAATAATACAAAAATACAATAATAAATCACACACAGGCTACAGTAGAGAGAGCACACACACTATGAACAAAAACAATACAGACAGATTGAGACAATAGTACAATGAGTGCAAAGGATGCTGGAGTAAAATTATTATCATTATTAAGTACATGTCGGAGGTGGATAAAGGTACACATACATGCATACTTGTATTCATGTACACAGTGTGATGAAGCACAGTGCAAAGGATGCTGGAATAAATAAGTATTGCAGGTGTTATGTACTTGAGGTAGGTGGATTTGGTATACAGTATATACAATATACAAATGACAATATGAACAGTATGAACAACTCTGAAATAGAGAATGATGAAATGAAGTGGTAAACAGGTGGCTGATTAGAGACAGAGTTACTGGGTTATTGCACAGGAATTGTTCCTGACACCGTGAGTCAGAAATCAGCTGTTCATCAGAGTGATGGCTTGTGGGAAGAAACTGTTCCTGAGTCTGTTGGTTTTGGCGTACAGTGCTCTGTAGCACCTACCAGTGGGGAGAAGTTGGAACAGGTTGTGTCTGGGGTGATGTTTCCTGCCCGTTTCCTGACTCTGGAAATGTATAAGTCCTGAATGGTGGGCAGGTTTGCACCCATGATCTTTTCTGCAGTCCTGACTGTCCGCTGTAGTCTGCTCCTATCCTTTTTGCTGGCAGATCCAAACAAGACATTGTTGGATGTGCAGAGGACAGACTGGAAGATGGCTGTGTAAAAGTGGATCAGTTGCTCCTTAGGCAGGTTGAGCTTCCTGAGCTGGCGCAGGAAGTACATCCTCTGCTGGGCCTTCTTTATGATGGTATCCGTGTTGGGCTCCCACTTTAGGTCCTGCTTCCAGATGTGACGAGTCAGGGAGTGAGAACGGGTTGCTCAAAGATAAAGACAGACATGGAACCTTGCTACATATGCTGTGAATCCCGACCTGCACGCTTTTATTGACATGTTTTTAAAATGCCCACCATGTGATTTTCTGAATACCATATTCGGCTCCACATCTGAGCCATCGTGCACATGAAGACAAGCTGTTATGAAGATTAGATTGAAATGCAGGACTCAGGGACAGGGAATGAAAAGTCTGTATTGTATGGGGGTTAGATGAGAGACTGATTAGAGATACCTAGGCAGTTGACGTTTGGAAATAATGACAGAGGATATGGTGTGGGCAGTGATGAATGGGTAAGTGTGGCTTGCTGCCTGGCAAAAGGCAAATGGGAGCCAGGGAAGTAGGCAGTGATCCTGAGGGTTGAGAAACAAAGGTCAGTCAAAAGGAAAACACTAGGGAGCAACAATCTCCATCAAGGGCTAAAGTTTCAGAAATGTTTGGTCGAGGTGTAGGGGATGAAATAACTTTCCCTTTATAAATCACACTCCACCTGGAAATGTGCGCACGTGGATCAGCCTCATATCCAGCCCTCTAAACTCCCCCGTTCAGCCATAATTAGTCAACACAAAGCATTCATGAATATCGATGCACATGGCTACCAGAAAACCCCAGAGTGGTTATAGCCTACTTGGCGTGGTTTCGTAGGGTTGGTCTGTCTAATATTGGACCCAGTTCAGCACATCAAAGAGGCTCTAGGTAATCTAAATCGGCGTATTAGCCAGTCGTCATCATGGACCAAGAAATCTTCATGGTCCCTGAACACTTGTTCCCTCCTAGTTCTTCTTCTGTCCTCTGCAGTGTAAGTGCATCCAGAATCAGAATACTTTATAAATGTGAATATTTACAGTAATATACAGTATTAACAGAAGTGTAATGATAAATAAATAGTGTAATAATAATAATAATAATAATGTCTTAATGAGTCTTAACTAACCCAAGTAACAGAGAACGTTGCACCATATGTCAGTTTCACTACAAGGTGCAGCTAGTGACTAAAGCTGATGATACACGGATGATCCAGCATGTTGTGTGAAGATGTCTCCCTGGCACACTGCCTTTTTTCTGGGTGTCAATATGCAGCTCACTGCACTGTATGAAAGATACGGAGCCTATATGAAAGTAGTTGTGTTTCAGATTATGCTCGCTCATGAGTTCAAGCAAGCACACATACGTGCACACACCTGGCTGCAATATTAATACAGGTAGACTTTACCTACTTTGTTTTAGTCTGTCATAGTTCTTACATTTAGGTACCCTACAGTGAGGAAAATAAGTATTTGAACACCCTGCTATTTTGCAAGTTCTCCCACTTAGAAATCATGGAGGGGTCTGAAATTGTCATCGTAGGTGCATGTCCACTGTGAGAGACATAATCTAAAAAAAAAAATCCAGAACTCACAATGTATGACTTTCTAACTATTAATTTGTATGATACAGCTGCAAATAAGTATTTGAACACCTGAGAAAATCAGTGTTAATATTTGGTACAGTAGCCTTTGTTTGCAATTACAGAGGCCAAACGTTTCCTGTAGTTTTTCACCAGGTTTGCACACACTGCAGGAGGGATTTTGGCCCACTCCTCCACACAGATCTTCTCTAGATCAGTCAGGTTTCTGGGCTGTCGCTGAGAAACACGGAGTTTGAGCTCCCTCCAAAGATTCTCTATTGGGTTTAGGTCTGGAGACTGGCTAGGCCACGCCAGAACCTTGATATGCTTCTTACAGAGCCACTCCTTGGTTATCCTGGCTGTGTGCTTCGGGTCATTGTCATGTTGGAAGACCCAGCCTCGACCCATCTTCAATGCTCTAACTGAGGGAAGGAGGTTGTTCCCCAAAATCTGGCAATACATGGCCCCGGTCATCCTCTCCTTAATACAGTGCAGTCGCCCTGTCCCATGTGCAGAAAAACACCCCCAAAGCATGATGCTACCACCCCCATGCTTCACAGTAGGGATGGTGTTCTTGGGATGGTACTCATCATTCTTCTTCCTCCAAACACAGTTAGTGGAATTATGACCAAAAAGTTCTATTTTGGTCTCATCTGACCACATGACTTTCTCCCATGACTCCTCTGGATCATCCAAATGGTCATTGGCAAACTTAAGACGGGCCTTGACATGTGCTGGTTTAAGCAGGGGAACCTTCCGTGCCATGCATGATTTCAAACCATGACGTCTTAGTGTATTACCAACAGTAACCTTGGAAAGGGTGGTCCCAGCTCTTTTCAGGTCATTGACCAGCTCCTCCCGTGTAGTTCTGGCCTGATTTCTCACCTTTCTTAGGGTCACTGAGACCCCACGAGGTGAGATCTTGCATGGAGCCCCGGTCCGAGGGAGATTGACAGTCATGTTTAGCTTCTTCCATTTTCTAATGATTGCTCCAACAGTGGACCTTTTTTCACCAAGCTGCTTGGCAGTTTCCCCGTTGCCCTTTCCAGCCTTGTGGAGGTGTACAATTTTGTCTCTAGTGTCTTTGGACAGCTCTTTGGTCTTGGCCATGTTAGTAGTTGGATTCTTACTGATTGTATGGGGTGGACAGGTGTCTTTATGCAGCTAACAACCTCAAACAGGTGCATCTAATTTAGGATAATAAATGGAGTGGAGGTGGACATTTTGAAGGCAGACTAACAGGTCTTTGAGAGTCAGAATTCTAGCTGATAGACAGGTGTTCAAATACTTATTTGCAGCTGTATCATACAAATAAATAGTTAAAAAAATCATACATTGTGATGTCTGGATATTTTTTTTTTCGATTATGTCTCTCACAGTGGACATGCACCTACGATGACAATTTCAGACCCCTCCATGATTTCTAAGTGGGAGAACTTGCAAAATAGCAAGGTGTTCAAATACTTATTTTCCTCACTGTATACTCAAAACGTGTGGCAATATCTACCCAGACAAATAGAGTGAAAATTGTTACCTCATGTTTATTGAGTAAATTCTACAGGTTGTTTCTTAGAGTGTATAAGCTTTATCAAAGAGGAAAGTCTACTCCTAAATGTGGAGATGGTGTCTGCCTCCTGAACCCAAACTGGAACCTGGTTCCACAGGAGAGGAGCTTGATAGCTGAATGCTCTGGCTCCTAGTCTACTTTTGGAGACTCTAGGAACCACAAGTAACCCTGCATTCTGGGAGCGCAGTGCTCTGGTGGGGTAGTAAGGTACTATGAGCTCTTTAAGATAAGATGGTGCCTGACCATTAAGAGCTTTGTAGGTAAGAAGAATGATTTTAAATTCTATTCTGGACTTTACAGGAAGCCAATGCAGAGAAGCTAAAACAGGAGAAATATGATCTCTTTTCCTGGTTCCTGTCTGTACACATGTACAAAGTTATTCGAGCAAACTGATAATAAAACAATTGCTGTAATCTAGCTTTGAAGTAACCAATGGTGTGGACTATTTTTTTCCGGATCATTTTGTGATGTTGTGGAAATAAGAGACTAGCAGCTTCTCTTTTTGGCTATACCTTTGTGTGCCATTTATCCACAAAAACATAACAACATGGTGTTGATACAAGTTCCTCTTAAAAACCAACTGGCTCTGCTGTTGCCATGGCTACCCACAGACACCTTCAAGTGTGTGAGTCAACATCACACAACCTCCCATGTAAAACACCCTCTACCAACAGGATCTGGTTGTCCATAAGGTGTTCACTATAATATTATAACACAATTTAAAGCAATCTATTAAAACTGCTGTACAAGTTGCAGAAGATTAAGCCAAACGTAAAATGTTACAGAATATGAAAACTGGGAGTTGGCAGCCAAATGAGCCGTCATATATTTCTAATTTCAGCAGCGGATGTGCCAGATAGAAGCAGAAACTTGTGTACAACAACATGTGTGTAAGAATAAGATAAGATTAGATTACACTTTATGAAAAGATATAATTAGCGAACTGAAATAGGTAATTACCGATCAAGTGTCAATGTCTAAAGAAAAAGTCCTGAATCTTGTGGTGTATATTGATCCAGTGGTTACAGAATCAGCTGTGTCCAACTGTGACCCAGTGAGCGCTTCTGGAAAAACTACAGCACCAAACACTGATCCAAAGCTGTGACACTAAGTGGTCCTTCACTGTGATGTCCAATTATCTGACTGTTATCTGTTCAATTCGATTTTATTTATATAGCGCCAAATCACAACAACATGATTTCTGTGACACGGACAGGAAAAGTTAGAACACTTTCATCAAGTTGAAGCCATTGCCTTATAAATAATCGGCCTTCCTCCGACCCTGCTCACTCTATTTGCACCGTTTTCTCAGTTTCATTACCTTTATCCAAATTTAACTGTTTACTATTTAATTCTGTTTTGAAGATCTTGGACGGTTCTCCAAATAGGTTTACAGGTCCATCCAAATTTCGTTAGTTGCACCTGTACACTTTTGAAATGATGTAGTTTTTCAGCACACCTGTGTGTCTAGTTTGGGAGAAAACACATTTTTTGTAACTTGTAGGATGTATGTGACAATTCATATTTTTATAAGAATTAATTGTAATTCGAAATCCAATGGCAAAGTTTGATGAATGCCCAGACTTACAGGTGCAGCTCAAAAACTTTGATTTTTTTCTCCTGTAGAAATGATAATATAATGTAAAACCTATTTAAATTCATATCAGTAAAAACATATCAAAACAAATTTCAGTTTACGATATTCTCTGATCTGAAACCCAACCATAAAACATAGTACTGTAGCATTTTACTTCCATGAACAGTGAATAACATGAGTAGATGCTACTAATAAAGTTACTGTTGCTGGATGGATGTTGTGTGGTATAATTTTTTTCTGCTATACTCTCTGTATGTACTGTGATTTGTGTTATATTTAACATGTTCTATAGACCCACAAGTGCAAGCATGGCCTGAACTATCCTTTCTCTCTGTCTATCTTTAGACTGGGGAAATGGAGGTGAAAAACCCTCTGTTCGACGACTCCACCCTTTACTTTCAGAAGTTCTACAAATAAACCTGGACATTGAGAGGTTTCACACTCTGAACGCAGCACTTGTGTGTGCATATAGTTGAATTTACACATATACACACACTGTGCTGAGTCCAATCATTTTAATGGACAGGGTGGAGAGTGTAAGGTACATGGAGGAGGACTGGGATGAGGAGTGAAGCATTCGTGGACATTTAAAGGAGGTCACAGGACTGGTTTCATGACTGAATATGGGACCAGTGCCTCCCATTCTACTGCAACAGTCTGTCCTTTTTTACGCTATCACTATTTTTGTTATTATTTTTGTTCACAAACCCACAATCAGCCAACATCTAAGAACTCAGAATGATTTCTGTCAAGTAGCAAACACTCATATTGAATAAAATATCCTGTTAATAGAACTGGTTCCAGTACAGGGACAGTTCCTGATTCCACTGAGCTGAAGCTGAAAGTATTTCAGTTCATTGATAGAGCTTCATGAATATCCATGTTTATTAATTAGTAAATAAACACTGCTTTCTTTGGTTTAATTTAAGTATTTTTTAAAGATGTGTTTAATATTTCATGATAACACCTCCGTGCAGCACCGTGATCTTTATCAGTATGTTATGCAGCCATTGTGTTCTCAGTCTACTTCATCTATGCATGTTTTGATGATGCTGTGTTATGAAATCTGATAGTCAATATGCATTTACAGCAAAGTGCTAATGGTTATTATATGCCTATATCACTGGTGTCACAATTCTCCAAATTCATGATTCAATTAGACTTTTGATTTAAAGGTCACAATTTGAATCAATTTTCAATTTGGAAAAAAGTTCAGCACTGACTGCTATGCCATTGATAGACTTTTGAGTCTTGATTTGTAAAGCTCAACATATCATTGGTTTTATGCCCAGACAACTAGGCCTGGGTATTGGTACTCTTTATTTCTTAACTTTAACGTATCGTCCAAAATAGCCCAGTACTGAGTAGTATGAAAATGTCTCCAATCAAACAAGTACTGCATTCGATCCTTCTTGTAACCAGATCAGGAAAAATTGTATGGTTTTGCAGCCAAACACGCAACCAACACACCAAGAGAAAGAGAAGGGAATGCCTCTTCTTTTCTTGTATTTCTTATGTCCCTGCATGCGCTTGTAAGCCTAGATCATGACTGATTTTAACAGCCCCTCACCATTGGCTGCTGTTTCAGGCATGTTCAACATTGTTGAAAGTTTATTACCACAAGCTTGGCTTTGTGTTTGTTTCATCTTCTCATATCCTTTAACACTACTCTGTACAGTTTTATTTGCAATTCACATCACTTGTCACCAATCGATCATTGCCTTCCATCATATCAAGTCAACGCTTGGATGTAGTGAGAGTGATCGGCTGGATGTGCAGGCTTTCTTTTCCTTTACTTGCTTCTTAAGAGTCTTTAGTGCAGTATAGTGACCTGTATGAGCTCACTCCTTACTCGTTTTCTACTTCTTACTGTCGTCTATTGAAGGAGGTCTGCGACTCACTACTAAAGGACAAAGGCGAGTGAGTGTCATGAAATGTGGCATCATATAAAGTTTTTTATTTGTTTTATTATTTATTACTACTACTATGGCATTTTACTCAAGGAATCAAATGTTTTGTACCCTATTGGTATCGGTATCACTTTAAGGCTACTGATTTTGGTACTGGTAATATTTTAAACCCAGCCCTACAGACAAATTTCATGTGGATTTGTGTGGTACAGCCTACAAACTGTAGTTGCCACACCTGTGACCTCAGGGAAGCAGGAAGATTCTGTTCCAGTTTTTTCTCTGTCATCTCCGACTCCAGCAGTAGCCATGGTGTTTTTTTTTCTTCAGACGTGCACCTGACACACAAAATTAGGCAGGGGTGGAGAGAAAAATGTCGAAATCGAAAGCTCTTATCTTTTTAGAGATAGCTCTAAATGAAAGAAATTGTGACACCCCTAATATATATCCGGTATATATACTTTATACTTATATATGACTTGAATGATTACGAAAGAATTTGATACTTCATTACCTAGAACTCTGAAACAGAGCGAGTCCATCCTGTGTATATGGTATCTGACTAACATGGCTTGTCCACATGATTTTGTGATCTGTAAATAGCTGCTAATGTGTACAGGGAAGATATCTTACCTCTCACTCAGTGTGTGTGCAAACATCTTCCCCTAAAGAGTGCTTTGTCAAATACTGAACTGTTATTGTTTCCGTATTGTTCACTATATTTGCAAGGTTCCTATATACATGTGGAAAGGACAGGAAATGTCTCAGAGAAGTAATGATGTCCTGGTTTTGAAAACATATTTGACCCATTTGTTATTGTGCATATAGTTTTTAATTGAAATGTAATAGTTTTGTAGATAAGGGGTAAGCAGAGAGTATCCGCACACTATGACATACATAACTGGAACATTTATTAGAATTCAGGCACATTTCAATCCTAATACCAAGTCTTCACCAGGAAAAACATGAGAAAATGGCAGTATAATACTGAATACATCATGCTGAAGTCAAGGACAACCAATCAAGCAAAATGACTTCAATAAATACTGACAAGACATTGTCAAAAAGCAAATCGTTATCATAGAAATCACAAACATCAATACATAGACAATATTTTAAAGTAAAAAAAAAAAAGAGGAAACTAATAATATCACAACATTGTCTGAGATAAAATACACCCCACTGGCTGGAGGAATAATGGGAACAGGAGAAAGGAAAAATTGCCCAGAAATATGAGACATACATATAATCTTTACAGTTACAGAAGGAGCTGCCATCATTTTTTTTCTTTGAATAGGTCAAAGCTGCCAATTTTAAAATTGAACTTAGCCAAATTTGCAGATTTTACAGTACAGTCAGTCATCTTCTGTATCCACTTATCCATGCAGGTTTACAGGGGGCTGGGGCCAATCCCAGCTGGCATAGGGCAAGATACAGCCTGAACAGGCCGCCAGTCCGTCACAGGACACAGGATACATTTTACAGTACATGCTTGGGAAAATGTAAAGCTATGGTAGGTAACATTGGAGAAACTGGGATGAGACAGCTAAATTCCCTTCAGGCCTTCCTCCATAGCCACAGGTTAGCCAGTCATTTCATTTGGACTGAATACACAATCTAACTTTGTCTTTCCCAATAACAATGTTATTGCCAAAGCCTGATCACGACTGCATGAACATAACTAATAGTAGAGTAATGATGCTACCAGCACTGTTACCCATATGAAGGATTGGATTGGTGCACTGTAAGACATTTCAAGTTTGTTTAACTTGGAAATAGAAGAAATGCTGCCTTATAAATGCAAGTTAACTCAGCTTTAAGATTGCATTTGTTTTAATTCACAGGTTCATAAAGTTGATGTAACTTCTAGTTGTCTCAATATTGTTTTTTTAGTTGATAAACATTTTTATTACTTGTTTCTTCATACTTTGAGTTACAACAAATAATTATATTACTTTATAAATGCAAGAAAACTTCCCTTAACTAGTCTTAACTATTCTAACAAGTTAAAAGAACTTAACCACATTTATATTACGTTCCATTTTAAGTTGAGAGGATTTAAATGTGTTTCAATTTACATGTATAAGTTGTCAGGTACGCCCTCCACCGGTGGCAATATACTTTCTTGTTTACCACAAAATTTTCTATATTTGGTTGGAATTTAAATACATGACTTATCTGCAGTGTATAATTAGTTAAGTGCATGCATCACATTTGTTATTTATTTTCAACTAACAACTTACATTACAGGGTGAGAGTGTGAGTATGAGTGGTTGTTTGTCTATGTATGGCTGGCGACCTGTCCAGGGGGTACCCCGCCTTTAGCCCGTTGTCAGCTGGGATTGGCTCCAGCCCCCCGCGACCCTGTACGCAGGATAAGCGGTTGATGATGGATGGATGGATGAACTTACATTACAGTTCAATCAACACACACGTATCTCACAAAAGTGTCAAATAGTCAACCAAAGGATTTAATCCAAATTTAACTTTCGGAAACAGTTCAGAGCTCGAAAACCTGTCAGAGCTCTTTGGGTTAAAAAGAAGTAAGTGAACATAACTAAATGGGGCTTTAATGATTTACAGCGTGCATCCCTAATGGATATTCTCTGCTTTTCCTTTTAGTGAAGCTGCTATCCTCACCTGGCGTAAATACTGTATGACTGGATGTGACTACCTGTCTGTATTTTGTAGACAGTCATATGCCCCACTGTATCACAGATCACAGATTGTATTACACACCCAGGATGATCTTTAGTGACAGCGGTTTGGCAGGGTAGCAGTGCAGGAACCCAGGATGTAACTGTGACCTCCCGCTGTCGTCTCTCAGGAAAGCCGCCCTCCATGGCTCCTCTTCAGCCTGCTCCCACTGTCTCAGCTTCTCAGCTCCCCGCAGTGAAGGAATATGTTAAACTGTACTTGACCTGCCCGAATACACATACATGAGTATCAATGTAATCATGTAAAAAGAAATATCTACAACAGATAACAGGGAATATTAACAATGGAAATGTTTAACTGTGTTGTAAAGACTGTTTTACTCAAATCTACTGAGGTGTGGATCAAAATGAAGGACAGTTTATTGGTTGGAGGGACGAGGGATTACCAGAAATTCTCAAGTTGTTTACCTTTTTTAAATGTTCTATAGCTCTGCTTTCCCTTAACCAGGGCTGAGAGCTAAACAAATGCCAAGCTGGTTGTCTTGTTTTGGTCATTCTCTCTCTGATGATGGGAGGGTCTCGTAAAGGAACTCTAAAACAAGTAACTACCTAAGCTAGCTATCTTTGATACAGACTGTTTTCAGACTAAACATAATGAGTTCTATACACTTTACCACAATGTATAGCATGCCTGTGGATATACCAGAGCTGAAATGAAAGAAATAAATATTTATATAATCTAAGGTGAAACATTGTTTGTTGTGGAGTTTTTTTTTTTTTTTTTGAAAACATTTCTATCGTTTCAAACCCAAATGTTTTAGATAAGCCACAACACATTGTCCATTGGCACTATTTCTTTAGTAGAACATACTGTTCCAAATAAATCAGTTAACAGCATGTTTTACTGAGAAACCAGGACATTGCTTCTGGAAAGACACACTGCTTTTTACATTTTTTTTCATTGTGTTACACACCACCTTTTGGGAGAAAACCTTTTTATATACAGTCTATGGAGAAAACACATTTTCTCTAATATTTTTACAAGAATTTAATTTGGATTTGAAACCCAACAGAAAATTTTGATGAACGCCCAATAGCTAATAGAATAGATTAATAGATATTGTTAGTTAGTTAGTTAATTAGTTTTAATAATGGCATTGCACTGTGATGCTCTGTGGGGTCCTGTGTGGGTGTGGCCTATTTGTCTCCCTCTTCCTTGTAGAGGAAGAGCTGATTGCAGTAACTCTGGGCACCTGGGCTAATTGCCCTGTAGAGTATTTAACGCTTTATTGTCATTCATTCCACAGGTTACATCTTACCTTGGTTTCTGGACATGTTGCTTTAGTTGATAGTTATTATTTCTTTACATTACAACACCCTCACACACATTTTCCATGCAACCAACTTCCTGACCTGACTGAAACCACTGATGTTCATACCCCATACTTGTTCACCTTTACTTTGGCACTAGCCATAATTTGGTTCATTTTGGTTTAATAAACATATTTTGTTAAACTTTTGTTGTGGCCTTTTGAGCCAGGTCATAACAGCACTTTAAAGATATTTATGTGATTTCCATGAACTGTTCTGAATTCTGTACTTTGAAATATATATAAAAATCAACAACATACTGCTGTTACAGCAACAGAAACCCAATAACACAATTGTTTTGGTCACCTACACTGTAAAAAGGATTCTGTGGTTGTGTACATTTGAATTAATGTATTAGGTAAAATACATACATATATTTCAAATAAAAATGTTCAGAAAATAATCCACCCATTGTAGTTAAATAAAAAATAAGCATTATATTGATCTAATCCCAATGTGACGGCCCCTCTGCAGGGTGCATACTGCTGTTGTTGTGCTTTCTGTCTCCAGGGCTACAGACCTGATTGGCAAGGTAATCAGCGGCATGGGACACACCTGGGCCCGGTGTGCCCCATGCATATAAGCCAGAGCTTGGAAAACACTTGCTCACAAGGTACAGATGATGCTGGCGAGCATAAAAATTGTTTTGCAAGATTAAACAGATGAGGGTACACATTTTGATGGTTTCGCCAGTACGCCAGTGGGTCTTCTGATCTTTCCAGTGGTGAATCAGTCATGTACCGCTGAACCTCCACTGTAGCATCTGTTGTGGCATTCCTTGCCCTCCTTGCTTCAGAAACATCTCTGTTCAGAGTTTCCCAAAGGTATACCTGAAAGACAAACATGATGATAATTATCAGTACTGAAAGGTTTCAATTTTATCAATTAACTAATTTATAACTTTACCTGTGGATTTTCAACATTTTGCTGGTGTTGGTTGAGCTTATGTGGAGGGCTGTTCTTCTGTAGGTAGCAGGTGGTGGTGTGTATCTTATCAGTTGTGAGCATTGTGCTGTCAGTCGTCTTATTGATGCCTGTGCCTCTACTTGATTGTAGAATCCAATGGTTTTGAGTGAACTGCTCACTGGAGTCACCACTTCTAGAAAATTATCTTTGCACCCGGGCGAGGTGACCCATGTCCTGCCCGGACAAGTCCAGGCCCCTATCCCCCGGTAACACTCCAAGAGCGTATCTGTGCGTGTCGCTTGGTGGTCCACAGGCTGCTGCGGCAGCGCTGTTGCTGTTGGGCCTCAGGGCAGTAGTCTATGAGGTGGTCCCTCTGGGCTTGCTGCTGGTGAGACGGGAACGGTCGTTCGTCATTCTGGTAAAAGTGACGCTGCCTACAGTGACAGAGCCCTGGCCTGTACCTATGGTCTGGGGGGCTCTGTCACAAGGGTGAGGCTTCATATTCACAATGCTGTTGTTGGACCAGCCTCCCCAGGTTTTTCTCCTAAAACTGTGGAGAGGCAGACTCAGGCTGGTCTATCCGCTGAGGTCGCACAGACCATCCAAGTGGTCTCCACCGGTGTCGTGTCTCTCGGCGCCTCAGTAAGACTTGCTGCTAGTGTTAGTAGCTCTAATATCTGCACCTTATGAGCCACTGGAGCAGTCCTCATTGAAAATACTATCTCTTGGACAGCCCTGCGCCTTGCTCTCACCTCTGCTAAGAAGTTGAGTGAGCTGTGTGCCTGTCGGTTCACCCCAGCTGTATGCTGGTTCTTAGTGTCCACAGTGCAGCCAGATTGAGACAACACACCTCCTTTGTTCTTACAAACATAAGGAGCATGTTCAGGTCCAGGACAATAAATCTGGATGCTTTCTACCCCACTACCCCACTTAGGGTGCAGGGAGGTGAGAGTGCATCTGTTGTGTTTATGTGTGCTTGGCTAACATCCTATGTAGAGCACACAGCCCCCATTCGATGCACTGGTCAGCTGTTCGTCTTTTTCAGTGATAGTGCAGTCAGTATAACCCTGTCCAAGAAGAGCCTGGCCAGCTGGCTTTGTGAGTGAATCTCCCAAACCTGTACACGGTCGGGAACAGACACACCCTTAGCGGTGCGTGCACATTCCACTCAAAAGTGTGGAAGTGTCTATGACACTTTTTCAGTGGGGTGTGTGTCGAAGAGATCTGCACAATGGGATCTTGGCCCTTACTGTGTCCGTTTGTGCGTTTCTGTCTCTTGGATATGTTAGGCTCCTTCTCAGGATCCAGCTCCAGTGCGACCTAGGATCTGAAAAGTGAAGATCTGGTGATTACTGGGTGTAGAGGGGGAACATACACTGGCAGTGCCTGACGTTTCAGTGAGAAGTCAGGGCAGTGCAGGTGTTAATGGTCAGGCCAAGCCCCTATTGGTCCAGTGACCTTCTCAGGGGTGTCCCACCATTCTGTCACTAGGTGACGTGGTGGTCGGGGCTTTGGCCGGCCTGTGGCCGACCGGGTTGGTGTGGTGGACTTTGGCTTGTCGCGGCTAGGGCGGACAGTCATCGGGCTCCACCCACTGTACCCATAGAGCCTGTGTGAGATAGAACGAAGGTTACAATATGGTAACCCTAGTTCTATAAGCACAGGCAGAGCCCTCTACCGATGAGCCTTGCCACTCTGCTGAAGAGGCGGTCGGATGCTGAGGCAGTAGGGACACTGCTATTTATACATCATGCACGTATCGGTAGCGACGTCCTATTGGTCGGCTACATGCACGATAAAATTTCAGTGGGCAAGTGCATGCATGTGATTGGAGGAGGTAGTACCCATAGAGTCCAGTAGAGGGCTACACCTGTGCTTATAGAACTAGGGTTACATACAGGGTAACATTTTTGTCATTGGGATAACCTTTGACCC